CTCTGATGACAGGAATGAGCCCTCCATTATGGCTTTCTTATCGTGCTGCCTTCTCCTCCCTTGTCGTCTGACCCCGTTTCCCCCCTGACCTTTGCCCTTTTGCCATTTTCCACAGCGTGTTTCTATCTTTACAGAGGGTCTCTTATTCAGGGTGACTAGCATTGCTTGTGCTCTCCTGCCAGGTTAGCTGCTTGTGCTGTCCATGGGGACAAGTCCAGGGACAGCGGGTCGGGGGAGGCATGACTGGGGCACAGTCCCGCAGCCTTAAATGATCCCTTAGCGTTTGTCAATGAATGGTGATGGGCAACCAAACTTAAGGTGAGCTAACCAGAACTATGACAGGGGGAGAAGGGAGCTGCATAAGCCAGAGCAGCCTCATGCAGGGGTTCCTGTGAGAACAGCTGCAGCAGCCCGTAATGTTTCTGGGATGAAACTACCCATGGTGATGCTGTCACGGAGCTGCCCTTGATTCCCAGGAGTCTGCAAGGTGGGGTCCAAAGCTTTTCAGAGCCGGCTTTGGGAAGAACTCACTTTTGCTCAGACAGAACGCTCTCTAGGCCTCGTGCAGAAAGGTCCCCACCCCGAGCCTGTCTGGGTTCTAGCTGCCAGCCAGAAAGCAAAGGCTTTGAGCAGTCAGGCCAGTGCTTAACTTTGTTTTGAGGTGAGTTCTGCCCTCTGGGTTTATCTGGGTAACGTTTTGGATAAGCTGATCTGTGCCCCATCCCAGCCCTTGGCAGCAGGCTCAGAGTAAAGTCCTGATAGTCTGTTGGGGCCGGCCAGCTGGCCACTCGGTGACATGTCCCCAGCCTCGGACCCACATGCTTGCCTATTCCCGAGCTTGCTGGCCTGCCAGCACTCTGCAAACCTCCTTGAGCTCAGCTACGTTAGGCTCGTCTTGCAACCCCCTTGTTCTGAGTGACGTCATAATGAGGGAACGGCGCCTGGCTGCGCTGGCCAGGAGCACCGACTGCCCGGTGCCAGGCGGCTGTAGTTGTGCCCCCTCTCACTGATTTGATTTTTCAGGTCCTGGGGCAATTGCATCCTTCAGCTGTGAGCAAAGTATTTGTCTCGCTCTTTCTTTATGGGCAGCCTCTGAAGCAGACCTGCCAGAATATGGGTGTAGGGCACTTTACATGCATGTTAAGCTGAGGACTTTCCCTCTGTCATCTTGAGCATTATGGGAGTAGCTGCTGCCTTTTTTGGTACCTCTGGGTAACAGGCGGCTAAAGTTGTCTATAGAGTCGGGATTGCCCATGCCGTCTTACCTCAGAGGTGAGCTGGCCCCTGGTGAAACCTGCCCCTTTCCCCAGTGCAGAAATCATTTGGTGTGAATCTGCATTTTTAAACATGAACACCTGTGAGCGGAGAAGACCTTTTCCTCCTGAGGACAGTGGCTCAGGCGTGTTCATCTCTGGGGATACAGGGGAAGCATGAATCTGAATCTCTGGGGGTGGGGATATTACTCTGGGCACAAGTTTCTAGTCAGTCTCTTCACATTTGGAGCAGCGTCGTGGCTCAGTGGTCTTTTTTTCTCCTTTCCCTCCCCCCATCTGTTACGCAGTGACCAGGACAGGGGTCGGTTAACCCCCTCACCAGACATAATTGTCCTTTCCGATAATGAAGCATCAAGTCCCCGTTCCAGCTCTCGGATGGAAGAAAGACTCAAGGCAGCAAATCTCGAAATGTTTAAGGTGAGGAGCACCCCCCTGTTCTTGGGGTGGCTGGGGACGGGCTCTTAAGTACCGGGAGTCATGAAGACTTTCTGGACAATGCAGTGATTGTGATCATCCTCCAGGTCTTCCCCAAGCTCTGTTTAGTTCAGCTTGGTACCATGCAAACTCCTTCACGGTGCGAGGCTCCGCTTGATCATGTTTGCTGTGGACCTTTTGCTCCCAGAGCCCGTCAGCAAGCAGCGGCAGGGCACAGCTTTGAGTGAGTTCTCTCTGTGTCCTCAGGGTAAAAGCCTAGAGGAGCGGCAGCAGCTCATCAAGCAGCTCCGGGATGAACTGCGGCTGGAAGAGGCGAGGCTGGTGCTGCTGAAGAAGCTGAGGCAAAGTCAGCTGCAAAAGGAGAATGTTGTACAGAAGGTGAAGTGCGGGCAGGCAGCTGTCGCATGTCTGTGGGTGGGGCTGCATGCTCAGCTGGGCCAGCAGGAGCCCAGTAGGAGGAGTATGTCAGAGCCAACTAGGCCTATTGGGATGGATGCTCACTGTTACCTGGGCAGCATTTGTGGTGTCCATTGTCCAATACAGCTCCCTGCCCTCGTGTCCAGCTGAGGATCAGCACATGTAGCTCGGGAGCGTTAGCATCTGATGGGTGGTCAGGACTGGCTCAGCATCAGGCCATTTATGCCTCTGTCTCTCCCAAATGCTCCACAGTGATGCCATTATGTTCTCTTTCAACCTAGACTCCTGTTGTCCAGAATGCAGCATCTATTGTCCAGCCATCGCCTGCTCATGTGGGGCAGCAGGGACTGTCCAAGCTTCCCTCCAGGCCTGGAGCTCAGGGGGTCGAGCCTCAGAATTTAAGAACATTGCAGGTAAGCGTCCTTGAGACGGCACTCTGCGCACAGGATTCAAAGCCCCTGTGTGTTTCTCTCTGATGCTGTGTTGAGATGAACATGATTCCCCTCTTCCAGTGGATGATTTCAGTGTGTTGCTGCTGAGATGCTTATCCCAAAAACTAGGTGAGCGCAGGTTTTATCACTTCTTGCTTAGTCACAAAACAAAATGCAGTGACTGTTGTCAGGGTTGAGCTCACAGGGCTAGAAGGCAGTCCCATAAGAAGGTGCTAGTCCGTCTGTTCAGAACAAGTACAGATTTTTCCAGGATGCTGTGTCCTGCCTGAAGTTCCCTCTCCCTGGGAGTCGCAGCACGCCATGAATGGGTGCATCCGGCTCTGCCCTCCTGTGTTAGAGGCGGATGCTTGTTAATAAAGCAGTTTGTGCACATTATTTGGGAATCCTGCAGGCTGAAAGACCTAAAGCAATGGAAGGTGAAGCTGGTGGTGATGGTGCTGATGACAGCAGCTTGGTTTCCTGTGCTGAGCTGCAAGCTTTGGGATCCAAGTTGCAGGGGTGTTGAAAAAAATCACTAGCTTGTGCATAACAACAAGAATTGCTGCTGGGTCCAGAGAGGATCCAGTGTGGCTGGGGAAGAGGGTGAAGGGAAATGCAAACAAAAGATGCAGGGGGAGTCCTGCTTTCCCAAAGAAGGTAAATACAAGCAGAGCCAGGGCTGCCTGACAGGGACACCTTCCTGCCTGTTTGCTGGAAGGACATGAATCCTAGATGTCGCACAGTGTTTAATGTTGTGTAGATAAACAAAGAGCCAACAGTATGAGCTCACCAGCCCAAGGCTTTCTGAGCCTGCGTGTGGAGGGGGATGTTTACACTACCAAGCGATAGGGATTTTTTTTCTTGGCATTTCACCCGGCGCTGCTGTAGGGCCTCGTGCTCCCTGCCATCTTGAAGCACGCCCACCAGCAATATGTCTCTTTTCACAAGCAGATAACTTCAGATGAAGCCACCCTGCTCCCCCTGCCGCATGCGCTTTCTAGCCCAGGCTGCGCCGCCATCTTCATGGGAGGCTCCTTTTCAAAACCCACAGCGTCCCCTCCCCTTGCCACCAGGTCAAGGCACCGGCTTCAAGATGCTCCTTGCATAGACATCTAGCAATAACTAGTCTCCAGAATCGCTGCCCATTCAGCATCTTTGCCTCTCACTGGCTTTTGCTGTGGGTCAGAGTGGGAGACGTGCATTTCCTTCCCTTGGAGATGGTACAGCATGCAGTTGGGTTGGCCCTAGCCAATTTGTATTCGATAGAGTAACTTTGCCTGCCTGCCCTGTTTGGCTGAGCCTGTGGGGGTTCTTCATTTGCAGCAGAAAAGCAAAGTTAGTTCATCTGAAAATGTGTGTCATCAGATGAGGACAGCTTTCCATTGTCTGTTCCTACAGCATATTGCTCAGTATTGCGGGAAGCCCTGGTAATGTAGGCTTGGGTGGCTAGAGAGGCTGGGCAGCATGGTGCTGGCTGGATAAGTGGGACTTGGTGCTTTCTGAATGCCTGTAGCTCTTTTCTCTTGCCATCCTGGAATAATTTTGGTCTAAATCTCACTGATCAGCTCCAGGCTGGTTGTCTGGCATGTGTTTTCCTTACTATGGTAACAATGCTGGGGTCAAGTCTGTTGTGACTTTTTAGCAGAAGGATCAGACTGGCAAAGAAAATGTGTTCAAGGGAAGGGAAAGGCACTGTGCACACCCTTTGTGAAGGATTTTACTGTGCAGTGAAGAGCAGCATGTAGAACAGGAGAGATCCATTAGGGATGGTCATTTACAGTGCTTCTTAAATGCCTTTTAGATGAGAGCTCCATCCCCTAATTGCAGCTCATTCCCTCTGTCTGGACACTGTAGTGGCTCGGAGATGCAGAGAACTTTGAGTATTGCACGTGACCTTTATCCTGGAAAATCAGGGTCACAGCCCGTCCTGGGTTCAGCCTGGACTCGCACTTTGTTTTGATAGCACATTTTCTCTGGACCAGGACAGTTTTTTGTGAACTCTGCTAGCCAGTTCACATTAAAGATGAGTCCTCCATACACGCTCTCTGGTGCATCTTTATGTTGTACTAGTACCAGAGATGAGCCTGTCGGCACTCCTCAGAAATCCTGCCTACTGTAACTTTAACAGCCAACACCATTGCAGTCAGCGGGGAGTTGATTCTGCTTAGCTGAATTGGTCACCTCCCTGGCATGCTCTGTGTCCTTGACCTTGCACATGATCAGAGCAACCCAGTGTGCTTTATGAGGGGGTTAGGGTCCAGACGGTATTGCAGGAAGCCTCCACTTCTGGATGTGAGGTTCTGAAGCAGCACACTGGGAGCAGCTGTAGGTCCCTGGCACTTCACCTCCAGGACCTGTGTCAGAACTCAGAGCAGTCCTTGCTCCTGTCCTCACACAGTCAAGTCCTGTAGAACGTGTGCAGTGGTTTGGAGGCTGGGTCTCAAGGAAGGGTCATGTTAGATGTTACCACTTAACATTTATTCCCACCTGTACTCAATGTGATCTGCATGACCCAGGTGTTGAAGATCACAATAGTCTGCCTGACAGTTTCTCCCTTTTTTCCTGGCCAGGGTCACAGTGTCATTAGGTCTGCCACAAACACGACCCTCCCTCACATGCTGATGTCGCAGCGTGTGATTGCTCCAAACCCTGCCCAGTTACAGGGTCAGCGCGTTCCTCCAAAACCTGGCCTCATCCGCACTACAACTCCAAGCATGAATCCAGCCATCAACTACCAGCCGGTAAGACATCCTCCTTCTCCTCCTCCTGTTTGCAGTGGAACCCAGTGGCAGGGAAGCAGGGAAGGGCTCTGGGTGTGGGTTTATGGGCTCACTGGGAAGGGTGGAGCTCCAGGGGAAGGTGCCACAGGGAAGGACATGGATGAAGACCCACAACCACGACCCCCCCCTGAGAAGCTGAACAGCAACCAGTTGAAGGACTTCCTACGGTGGCATTGCCGGCAGCAAAGGACCTTGCTCCTCACAGTGATGCCACAGCAGAGGACTCATCTCCTGATGTAGGGAGATGCCAAGGTGTTATCTGGGAGCAAGATCCTGATGCTAGTGGAAGCCGGAGCTGTGACCCATAGGTACTTTGGCAGGCCAGCTAATGAGAGGACTGGTGTAGGGCAATCCAAGCCTTCTCGTCGCTGGTCAAAAAGCAGGGATAGAGAATAGTGCTAAGGTCTGTGGTGTGAGGGCAAGAAACTTGCAGCCAGGGTTTGTCCCAGTCAGGACAACTCTGCGGGGGGGGGGGGGCCGG